AAAGAGAGGAATTCTTTGCCTAGTCCTTCATACTTCTACTCACATCCACTTCTGAAGCCCACTAGTAATAAAAGAAGTGCTAGAACACAGGAAGATTTAATTCAATCACTCAGATGTAATTAACATCAAGGACTTCATCTTCGTTTTGTGCCCCCAAAGCCTGCAAAAGAAAAAAAAACAACACATCATCTCTACCACAGCCTTCTCACTGGGCTGTCCAGTTCTAAAAAGGCTAAAGGTACAAAGTGAGAGGAGTTAAACATTTTAACCTAAATTAGAACAGCAAGCAGCTGTGGGCTGACTGGCCTGAAAAATATTCTCTTGCTACAGGTTAGACAACCTGCTTTTACAAAGAAATCATGTCTGCTAGAGAAGTGCAGTGCACACCAAAGGGCAAGGCCTTAAACTAATGCACCTTGCAGATGAAGACAAACCCAATACTGGTGGTACCGTGCCCACTGTAGGCCTGCAGGAAGTTTCATGCCCCTACTTCCATAGGAAACAAATATGAGACATGGTACAGGTGGGCATGTAACAAAGCAGTAAAATAAAACAAAGAGCGCTTGCTGGACCTCAACTAACATCTGTGTATTTTTGACAGGTCAACGTCTCTCAAGCTTCCAGAGGTTAAAAGGTCTTTTGCCTTACCAGAAGCAGTTCTTGTTCCTGAACTGCTACCTTGTGTGGAATTGCTTGGCTGCCCATTCATTGGACATGCAGCTGTGGGCTCTGTCCACATGCTGCAATATGGGGAACGTGGCCGTGCTCTGATGAGAAACAGTAAAAGGAAGGCTTCATTAGTGTTCTTATGAAAAATTAAGAAATTACCATTCCAAACAACAAGGAGACTGCATCTCTGAGGGAAAACTAAGTAGGTAGTTGCTTCAAAGCTGGAAATCTCCCTGTTTAATATAATTAACACGTCAATAGCAAGGATATCCAGTGTTGTCACAACATCTGTAGACTTTCAAAAGAAAGTTAAGCATCATTCTTCAGGGTAAGCGTTTCTAACAATTGCAAATGAGGAAATTTTTCCCTCTCAAATTCTGACCTTAGATTTGGTCAGAGAAGGTAGATTTGACATTTGAAGCTTAAATGCATTTTGGCAACACCTACATCCCAGCCACGTAAGACAAAAGAAAACATCCCTCTGTTCCGTTAACTATCTTGAGAAGGTTGTACCAATAAGACTAAAGCATCATGACCTTGGACTCACTGATTTAAATTGCTTGATTCTATGGATATGGAATTTCCTACTGTTGAAATCTGTAAATAGCTATCGCCCTTTCTGGCACCAGCATTTTGAGGCACATCATTTCAAACTACTGAAAAAAAAAAATAAAAGCAGAACAACCAAAGACTGTTTCAAAAGAAAAGAAGCCAAAGTTATGAAGCGTGTTCATGTATTTAAGACTTAAATATTCAGTTAGGCCTCTAATCTTCAACAGCAAGAGGTAGCTACTGAAACGGGAGGGTGGGGTGATGTGGGGTGTGGAAATCAAGGAACAAACCTGTATGTAGAGAATACGTAAGCACACAAGGGTCATTTAAGACTTAAGTAGTATCACATCAAGAAAACCTTTAACACATTATACCTTTTAACAATTCTTAGCAGGGTTAATATAATAAAACAAGATATGAACTTTCAATTTCCACAGCTCTACTCGAATGGAATTTATAGACAATTTCTACTATTAATGGCATCACTGTCCCAGTTTCACCTTACTTGACTCTATGAGATCAAGACTGCACATTGGATACTTTAGAAATTCTCTTATATCCCAAGTTTCTATTTCCTTAATAAACAGGCAAACATGATAAAGCTTCTGTCATTACCAAAGACATTTTACAGTGGAGGAAGATGCTTTAACAGACTCCTGGCCACATGATGTCTTACTCCCAAACTTTCAAAACAAAAAAAGAAAGTGGTTATATTTAATCCGTTCTATTGCTGCACTCCTACAGGGTTAGACTCTATACACAGGCAGTTCTTTGCTAAAGGAAATTGCCTGGGCTCTAAAGATTCCCTCAGGAGCCACATATTTTCTCTAGTGAAGGCTAAAATGGCAGCAATTGTTCACTTATAAACTGTTTATCTAAAAATGATGCATTTTAAATGTTTAAAAGTGTTCAGCAGATATGACCACCAGATGTTTACTCTAGCACTGAACCTGCTTTTGAAGGTTGTTTGTGTTATGGGTTTCCAAAATGCAACCTATATATGACCTACAACTCCTTTGGAAAACCACATCTCTTGGATTTCCATACATGACCCATTAGGAGACCACAGGTTAAAGTCTGTTTTATTTGACCACACTGAGGATCACAGAAGAGCAGGTGCCATTCAGACTGACTTTAGGAGAGATGGCACTGTTACAAGAGACCCATCTACAGATGGTTTTATGCCTAACATCACTATGTTTCAAGGCAGTATGCAGATGGATTGTTTAAATGCTCATTTTTAATTTGCAGGCTGTCATGCCAGGTCAGAGTAATCAGCTAAAGCAGAATGAAGTACCTCAGTCCTCCCAGTTCTTCTTCCCCAGAAACACATTTAAAATGTCTCTGCTGCTGGAGCTATAGATTGCTCCTCAAAATTGTTCTAGTGGTAGGATTTTATAGCTTGAACAATACAGGCTTGAAAGCTTAAACATTGTAAACGTAGTACATGGCATACCCCCTGAAAGCTTAAATACTTAAAATCTGATTGCATGCATATTTTACCTGTGACTGCCAGCCAGGTAGCCTAGCAAACCTCCTGCTCCTAATCCAGTCCAAAATCCTGGTCCTGAATTGGTTCCATAATTGGAATAAGTCTCATTGCTGTTGAAACCTTAAACAAAATGAAAATGGAAAACGTATCAGTTAGTGGCACCTAATCCTCAGGCCAGCTGCTGCAACAAGACTCTCCTCTGTTAAAGATAATGGAAAATTAGATCATAGATTTCTCTTGATTTCAGTAGATTCTTGGTCAAGCTTAACTTGAAAGGCCTCACAGTTCACAAAGCCAGAAAAACCATAGAAACAAACACTAAATAATGTAGAGTTTTACATTAAAAATGAGCTTCCACTCAATCTCACAGCCCTGATGTTTGTAAAACATGGCAAAGAGTCCCTACCTGCAGATGTATAAACAGCCATGTTAGATTAAAAATAGAAAAAGAAAGGAAGAAAAAGTAATCTGCTCAAGGTCACACAGCAGGCCAGAAGCAGACAAAGGAACAGAAATCAAGTACATAAGACCAAAGAGCCAACTAACCACTAGGACACACTGCTTCTAATCCCACTCAAAACAGCTGTGCACTTTGAGCAACAGTGGCTCAGTCTAAGGGCTAACATTACTTTGTATTGTTTCTGGTAATTCTAGTCCAGTCTTTGTTATCAAAAGACAGGGTAACTGCAATCACATTGCAATGGTTTTTATTATGCATGAGTCACCAAGCTTGACAAATACCTTGATGAAAGTGCAAGCACATCAAGTGTGTTGTGGGGGGAGGAGAGTCACAGATTTTTCACATGACATGGGTAACATGAGGTTCTGACTCAGAACCAAATGTCTTCCATTTAGAAAATAAAAAGAGAAGATGCAAAAACAAAGTAGAATCATTTTCAAGTCTAGAGAAAAACAAGGATCCAAGAATAAGCTCAACCACAGGTTTAACACACAAGGAAGTATAAAAGGCAAGGACTGAAGATTATGGTCTCCCTGAAATATGCCCACCTAAACAAGCAGGCCAGAGATTTTGTGTGTAAAAGTCATACAGGGCTTGGTTTGTCTTCAAGCTGCTGTGGATTGTTTGAAATAATGGAAGATTAAAAAAAAATATTTAAATCATCGGTTTAAATCTACATTGGATTTGATATTGGATTTCATCTTGAATGCACTGGGAGAAAGACAAATTCTCATTGGGATGATATACCCATTAAACTATGCTGAATTGGAAGAAAAAAAAAAAAAAGCACTTCATTTACTGTAAAAACAATGTTAATGGGGGAGATGAACCAACTCATTTGTTGAAAAGCACTACGGCTGAACAGTGACTCAGAAAACTGAGTCACTTTTTGTTGAAATACCTTGAGTAAACACTAAGGATCATGTCAAACCACTAACAGAGAAAAAGCAGAATTTAATTACAATAGGCTAGCTAAACAAGTTTCACAGGACACATTCTGCATGTTAAGGGAATTTAAAATGAGGCAAATTAAATATTAACAGTAGTAAGTGAATGACAAATGACATTGCTTTTCATTACCGTCCAGATTTCCAAAGACTAAGACATTCCTGGAACACATGGATATACACACTCAGAGATGGGCTTCTGCTCTGCTGTCAGAATTTAAGACAGATACTAAATGCATGAAGTAGCATATCACTTAATATTTTTAAGCTGGCCCCACATTCAAGAGGTTTCCTTCTCACACTGTTTGAAATCTAAGGAGAAATAATCAACACTCATTATTAAAAATGTCCCAAGTTAAGCTTTCTACAGCTCCCAACATGCATTTTAAGTGTTTCAACTTTCAGTTTTAATCAAGAAAACATTTCCAAGGCGCTATCCTTGCTAGATTTCAGACGCCTGCAATGAAAAATGCACTGGTGCAATTAACAGACAAGGAACAGGACAGAAAAAAAGTAACCCTCACTTTGTTTTGCCTGTGCCCAGTACAGAGGCCTGCCTTAGGACCAGGGCTCTTGGTAACCACCACAGTAAGGCCAGCAGCAGGTGGCACCCACCCACGCACACACACAGTCACTGATGCACATGCAGCACAGACAGGCTGTCTGAAGCCTGAATTAACTACAGGGAAAACAATCTGCGAAGCCACTAGTAACAGAGAAGCAGAACCTCTTAATTTTCTGCTGCAAGTACATCTGAAAGTTTCTGCTGCACATTCCCTGCACAAGGGTATCCAAAAGAGTTACACTGGCACCTTCTGTTGGCTGAGCAGCTTGAGCAAACCGGAAGAAAGCATTAACAAGCGCCACTACGATTAAGCTTTTGACCAAGCACACTTAATCCTTGCTGTTTATTTACTTGACAGAGCCCCCTCTCTATCTCATAGAAAACAGAACACATGGTGATTACGCAACTTCTGAGAACATAATTTGACTTCCAGCGCCTAGTAAGTTGGTCAGACACCAGATGATTAACGTTGCTTTCCCTTAGACACCGTGACCATCTAAGGCAGTCTGTTCATTAAGCGACACAAGTCATCGGTTTTCTGGGAAAAGAAGAAGTGCACATTTTCCTAGCAGCAGCCTTGTCACTGCTCATACAGTTTCCAACTTCAGATGAGAGGCACCACATGAGATTCATGTGTTGCACCTCTAATGGTAGTTCACAGACATTGTTCTCCACTCTGGGAACCAAACCTTTCGACCACTGGGACCACACTGAACCACCTGTTAAACAGAGGACTGGTACATGATACTCACCTCCATCAGCTGGTTTGGGAATGAAATCAGGACTCAGCAGCCCAATGACTGAAAGACCCTTCTGTAAATTTTCAAAGCACTGCTTTGGCATGAGTTTGTTTCTGCCTGTGTAAGACTATCCTCTCTTCCAGATTATTTTTGAAAGTTATTCTTCCCTGTCACAATCCTCATACTTCACAGAGTATGAAGAGAATGTTTGCAAAGCATGGGGAGATGGATTTCCAAAGGTTCAAAGGGCAGCCTGCTGCACAGTCTGCCCTGAAAGCCTGTGGGAAACCAAGTTCTTCTTTTCCCTTTTGAACAAAGAAGAAGATACAAAGCTGCCTGCAGGCTCTGCAGCAAATTCAGCAGAGTCAACTGCCAATGTTTTAAGTCTATCCCACTTGCACTTACTGCAGATAAAACCCAGTACAATCCTGCTTGCTCTTTTGAGTTCTGTAAATGGCTCAAAGCCCTACCTGTGAAGCTGGACTTAAAACCAGGAGGAGGAGGTGCCTGCTGACTCTGCCAGGAAGGTCTCGTGGATCCATCACCGTCACCAAAACTCTGCTGAGGCTGCTCACTACTAAGGCAGAGCTTGTATACTCCAAAAGCAAGAACCAAAAGAACAATTATAACAATTGCTCCAGCACCAGCATCGGAAAAATCCCCCCCTGACTGATAATAGCCAGGGCCAAAGCTTCCATAGTTCTTCACTTTCCTTTGGGCTTCCTCGGTCAGCTCCAGCCGGAACAGTAAACTACAGGAGCCTCTTAAGATGTAAGGATCATCTGGATAATCGAAGCCTTCACAGCTCACTTCCATCCGTCCAAAACGGTACGTATTTTCCAAGTCTGCTTTGCACTGCCACTGAAAAAACAAACACAAAGTAAAACCTCCTGCTCCAGGGTTGAAAATACCTGTCTGCTTTCCCAAATATGCTCTGAAATAAAACTGTAATTGCTAACAAATAATCTAAAAAGCCACAGGGTAAGAAATTTCTGAGCACTCTTTATTTTGAAAATGACTAAGAATTTAAGATTAAATAAGAATGTTTTTTAAAATCCTAAAAGTTAAAAAAGTCTGATCTTTCAAAACACAGGAGTGTCACAACTCTGGAAGATTTTGTTTTTCTTCACTGAACAGGTTTTTCAAGTATCCCTTCTTTAGGTACAGAAACACTTCTAAAAAGAGAATCTGTACTCTGTGCAACAGTCACTTAATAAATGCCTGTCCCAGGGAAACTGGATGGCAGCTACAGAAATACAATACGGAAGCCTGAAATCCAGGGCACTTGATTCCATTTATATCCACACAGAAATCAAGAGAAACTGGGACAGACATAATTACGCATTCATATGCAACACTTCATGAGATTGCAGTTCTGCTGTTGAACACGCACAGATTCTTCAGTCTCACATTCCTTGAAGTATCTGAACTTAGGAATCATCTCTAACTGCAAGTGACACAGTTTTTTTTTGGGGGGGGAAGTAGTTTTTAAATTACTAATTCAGGACAGCATTGCCAACTGCCAATTCAAGTCTGACTGTACTTTTACAACATCACATCAGTCTTAACACTTATCTTCAGCCTTGATTCCTGGTTAATCCATTGGCAGAAGCCTAGGCAATAGCTCACAAAACAGAAATACAGGACTATTTACTGACTAGTACCGACACACTGACCTGCAAGAGGAAGTAATGGAAGTCTGAAATTTAGTTTTTAAAAGGTAGAGCTGGAATGATGCAAATATTTACAGCCCTTCCTTCTCTAAAAATTGGAAAGCCATGCAGCAATACCAAAGCAGGAACATCCTCAAGAGTTCACAAGAGTTTGATTTTATAAACTGAGCAACATTTTAAGTAAAACAAATTAAAGTTTTCTCTGCAGTGCTTTTATGTTACAGCCTTCGCCAGTATTTCAAACACATACCTACAGCAGCTCTAGAAAATCCAAACCCAAGAAGTATTTAAGTCAAGCTCCGGGCATCAAAGGCTATCTAACAAAAAGCAAACTGAACTGACACCCTAGCCTGTTACTCTTCCCTCCTGCAGAAGTTACCAGGTCTGGGGGAAGATGACTTCATTAAGCGCTTAACAAGTTTTAGACAGTTACCTGTACATCGAAGCCATCCCAGCCTTTGTTGTAACACTGAACAACCTCGGGGACACGGGAGCATCCAGCAGTGCCGCCCGTGCACTGTAGCTGCGGGACCGCAGGTGTCCGCCGGGATGTCGTGTACGCGTCTCTGTGGAGAGTGAGCGCCTGCACCTCCCTCAGCAGGACCCTCCCTGAAACGGGCAGCGCAGAGGTCAGCGTTTGTCGGGGCGCCCTTTAGCCGCAAGGGCCCACTGTGGCGAAAAGGCCAACAACACAAGGGACACCACAGCGGGCTTCCTGGAGCGACGAAGCGGCAAGGAGCACCAGGCGCGCAGAGGGGACCTCGGGGCGGGCTCTGGGTCACCGCTTGGAGAGCGCAGAGGCACCGCGGGCCGCACGGCGGGGCTGTCGCTGCGGCACAAGCGGGCTCAAAGGGAGCGCAAACCAAAAC